AGAGTCCTCCGAATTCACACCAGAAGACTAACAATTTTCCGAATAAAAACTTCATTTATACTAAACATCTTCAGGGCTAGAAGGCACGAAGTGCCTGGAGGCCCCACTACCTTTTTTTTTTTTACACTGTTTACAAAATATGGTTAATTTTATGATTTCTTAAGGGTGCACTTACGCCCCTATGACAGGGCATTCAATTCAGGCGCTTTAAGGTTAAATTTTAATGGTGCTTCACGCCAGTTGTCAAAAATTTGAATTAAAGTCAGATGGGCGTAAGTGCAGCCTTAAGAAAGACTGATTTGCTTTTTTACATTTCTAGCACAAAGGATTGGTAAATTGTTATCAAAAAATGCAGACCTGAATTATTATTATTGTAATATTCTGAAATAACTTTAAGATTTACAATCTCTTAGATGAGATAGCTCTATTCCACTTCAAATTTATCATTGTTTCCTATTTAAAATTAAATAAGCTAGAATGAAATCACAAAGTTATCATATTCTATTTTTAATCACAAAAAAAGATTTTAGTTAATGTAGAGAAAATATGCATTAACACAAATAATGTCAAACTATTAATTCTGACTCTAAACGAAGGAAAAATTCCTTTAGTTCTTCATCGGAAAAATCTCAGAAAATGCATTAATTATTAAATTTTAATTATAAAAACTAATACTTAAATACTCTTATTTCAATTTTATTAGAATGTCATATTTTATGCAATCAAAAATTATACGAAAATTGCCTTATTTATATATGAATAGCTTATTTTACTTTTTCGAGGTAACATTTTTGCATTCAAATATTTGTGAAATTATTCAATCTTGATGGTTAAAATCAAATCAACAACATAATTACATCAATTTGTATATTATAATTTTATAAAAATATCATTTGGAGGATTGTGAAAAAGTGGTTATATTTGAATAATGATTATGGTTGATTTCAATGAAGTCATAAAGACCTTGCTTGTTTCCCAAATATTGAATTAAAATAGTGTTACCAGTGTACTTGTATTGATAAATATGCATTGCATTTAGCTTCAAGTCCATCCAATTATCGATTCTTAACAATTTAATATTTTTCTACGTCTTTAGTTGGATTTCTAAGCTCTCAAACATAAATTCTCCTTAAATCATGTTACACCAATGATGAATTTCTATTCAACTGGTTACTGTTTTATATTTTATAAAATTAAAAATTAAAAAAATCAGAGAAAGAAATTAACAGCAAGATAATCAATTATTCACTTATTACATCAATAAGATCTATCAATATATGTTGTAATTTCATATTTTTTATTTTTTATATTTATTATTTTATAAGCCATTTTTACTTTCATTGATACATGTTTTCTAATATTATCTTTCAAAATCATAATATAATTATTTTTTTAATCATTCCGAAATTTTACCAATTTTACTTTTTGTCAAGACATATCAAATACACAAATCTAATTTAATTATTTCATATCTTATATTTCTATATTCTTGACTGTAATAATTTTGCTCTGACAATAATCAATTTTGAGAATTTCAAAGGATATTGAACCAATATTCTTTTACATACCATTGCATCAAAGTTTATTGATATAAATTATTGATTTTTGAAAAAATATTGTCAAAATTTCTGATAATTATCTTTGGACATTAAAAAGAATTTGATCTACTCAAATTCTATTAATTTAGTTTTAAAACATTCTGTTTTTCAATCAAATCTAAGCCATTGAAATGTTTTGAGACAAGTTCAGAATATTTATCATATATTTTTTTAAACAATGCCTTTATTCTTGATTTTTTCATACATTTCTTCAATTGTCAGATATGAAATTTCAACTTTTGACAGACGATTATTATTTTCAGATCTCTTTTCAATTTTTAAGGGTGCACACGAGAGGATCATGTAAACTTCAAAATTTAGAACCTTATTTTTAGGCATTATCTTGGCTACCTATTTAGGCTCGAAAAGCAAAAAATATCAAAAAATACAACTTGAGTCCATTATGACCCTTTCATGGAGGTAGTTTTTATCCGCTAGTATTTTCCCTTTGAATCTCTTTACAATTCGAAATCAAATTCAAAACTCAGTAGAAGAAAGGAAGAATCGACTTACTACGGTTGTAATACGAATAAATACATATATTTAATTATTTTTATTTACATAATAATTGTTTGAAGCTCATATTCCATCAAATTTTTAAATAAAAACATTAAAATGTTGAAAATGTTCATATATTTTAATAGGGTTTTGGCACTTTATTGAGGAATTACTACATACATAGTCGAACTGAACTTGATATTTTGAAATTTAAATTATTTATCAAAATTAAAATTTAACTTGAAATTTATAATTATTTAGTCATATTTTGCATAATTCTAAGTAGATTTTGTAAAAAATCAAGAAAGAAAAATTTTAACGTGGTTTATTTTTTCTTTTTTATAATAATACATATTATTATATAATTAACATATTCATAATGTTTCACCCTTTCAAAAATATAATCCTCCTCCTCTCAAATAAACGTACATACGGGTGGCCTCTTTTTTCAAAAAATTAAAATTTGAAATTTTGGGCTCAAATATTAGAGATTTTTTTAACCTTCAACGATATATGTTGTCTATATCAGACCTCCTTTCTTTTTGATACTTAACATTGTTCCTAAATCTTAGCCGTTAAGGCTGTTCTGAAAATATTTTTTTTCGAAAAAATTCGAAGAAAATTCTTAAAATTCAAAAATCCCTTAATTCCTGAGGATTTTGGAAAAAAGTTTTTGCATGAACATGTGTATATTATATGAAGTATATTGATAAGGTAAAAATCAAATTTTATTGCATATTCATCGAGAAAATAAACTAACGAATCCCTCAAAATTGAGAGGGTAATCCTCCTCTCAAATAAACGTACATACGGGTGCACCCTTAAGGGCTTTTTTTGATTACTCCAGGTATTTGTTTTTTCATCAAAGAAAACCCTTCCTTCACTTTTTAATACAATTAGACACACCCTAACTCTTCTCTCTAGAGGTAAACACGAAAATAAACCAACTTTGTCCTTATATTTACTGAGTTGAAATGCGATATCTTCGAGTTTTACCTCGCCTTCGACAGATCTCATGTAATCTTCAACATGTATCTCAAATGTATCTTTGTGCATTATGTATGATTCATTGATAACGTCAGGTTCAGATTCAATTGGCGTCTCGATTTCTGATGAGTTTTTTTCATCTTCTTCTGAGCTTTCATCGATCATCGTGTTCCGGAATAGTGTTCTTTTTGGATGGTTCTGCCTAGGGCTGGAATTAATTATCCATGTGTCTGGTAATTTGGGGTGTTTCAAAAACAAATGTCTTGCCTTTTTTCGTACAGAGAGATTTAAACGTATTACACGTATAGATGGTTCAGAAATAAATGCTCTAGGGGTATATTTTACTATAATATCCCACTTTTTAACAACATAATCTAATAATTGTTGCTCTGTCGCGTACCCATTGTTTTCATTAATACACGCCATGAGAGCTTTCTGAAATGGGGATGATTTTTTGCCAAAACCTTTCTTTGAGTCCTCGAAGGGATGTAATGTGTTCATAAATTCTTCCTCTCCAATGAACAGCTTTTTCCGTTCAGCATAATATAATTTTTCCATCTTTTCCTGTTCCTTCTTCTTGGTTAGAGCAGCCGCTGTAATGGCATGAGGCTTCCTTCCTCTATTCATAAACTGTTATCAAATGATTTGAACTTTAATTCAATTCAAAATCACCGACTATAATTAAAGATATTTAAATTTCATTTAGTGATATTTTCCATTTGTAGTAAGGATGTCAATTCGGAAAATTGTTTTCGTTTTAGGAGAATATAATTTTCCGTTTGGAAAATTTAAAAAGTGAGACGCGCAAGATTCGAACTTTATTAAAAGTTGATTTAAATATATTCTAGTGTGGAATCTAAGGATAATATCATATTTAAAATAAGAATATACGAGTTTAGGTAGTTTTATTTTTTTCGATAAATTTGAGAGTATGTACGTTTAGGGCATCAAAAGTGTCAATTCGCTCAGCGAAAGCTGAGCTAGCTTCGTTCTCGAAAGAATAGGGAAGGAGTGAAGGAGAGTCATACAGATATTGACACATTCATATAATTTCAACAAATTTTTAATATAACATTTTAATTCAATGACAAAAATTTGAATAAAATCTATAGTAAAAAAATTACGATGCAACATCGTTATATTTCGGATCATTATGATTATGATTTTGACTTTCTTTCAAAACAATAAATTGAATAGTTACTTGCAACCTGCTGCAAATACCAGGATCTTGTGCTTTTTGATTTGCAAACATCTCAAATTCTCGATTGGTTGACAATTAGTGGTTAAGTTCAGAATTTGGAATATGTTATTATCAAGCGATCATAAAATTGTTGCTTTTTGAGGAGAAATCACCATTTTCTCATTCAATTTCGGATTGATTTTTCAAAATCAATAGAACAGTTCGTTTTCCTTTTGATATAAATTAAACACTACAGTATTGACAGAATATCAAATCATTTTTATGGGAATTTGATGATAATATATCAACCAAAATATTTCAAGCAATAAATAGCATTAACAGCTTAAAACTCTTAGGCATACACTTATTTATGCTCTTTTGAAGTACAGACATTGAAATTCACATGTTTTTCGGGTTTAATCAAGCAAAAATTATTCAATTTTTTTTTGTATTTTTCATAGATTAATTGAAAAATTCCATTCAATACTTACATATATTACACAGATCCAATCCAATTTATAAAAAATGATGTTAATTAAATTATTTAATATCTGTTCAAATTGAAATAGAAGCACAGTGTGGCAGAATTTATATGCAAAACTCAAAAATAATTTTTGTGTATAATTAATATGTTTACTTTTTTTTTCTCCTAATCTCAATTTTTTAAAAATTTTTGAGGCTCGTCGAAACCTTTATAGATTGTGTTTATATATATTCTTTTTTTGACACGAATTTAATTAATTTTGCCCACAACTCGTTAGGAAATCTAAGATTTTGCCTCTATTAAGAGATGATGCATAAGAAATAGCATTTTCCCCTTTATTATTTTGTATGTTGATAAGTGCTCCATGAGAAACAAGCATTTTTGCAGCTACAAGATTATCGGACCATTTTATTAATGTATGAAGAGGTGTAGATCCATCATAATCTTGCATGTTAACATTTGCACCGTGATTTAAAAGCAATTCAGCAGTCTTTAAACTGTGATAAAACAAAACCGTTTCAAACAAAGCCGTCATTCCTTTATTGTTTTTTATATTGACATCTGCTCCGTGTTTAATAAGAAGTTCAATCATATCATCATAACCATTTTTTGCTGCCCGAAAAATAGCGGTATTTCCATTTTCATCTTTTGCATTTACGTCTGCACCATGTGAAATAAGGACTTATATTATTTCTTTGTTTCTTTTTAATATTGCGAAATCAAGAGCGCGATCACCTTTTTCATCCATGATATTAATATCTGCATTGTGTGCAAGAAGTAAGTTTACAAGCTGTATGGGCTCTAATTTTACTGCATAGTGGAGGGCAGTTCTGCATGCATGGTTTTTTGCATTTATATCAACACCATGAGAGATAAGCATTTCGACGATTAGTTTCTTTTCGATACTTGAATGTGGATGAGAAAGTTTATATTTTAAAGAAACAGGGTCTATCTTATGTCCGAAAAGATCGGATAGTGAGAATTCTTTTGCTTTCACTGCATAGTGAAGAACAGTGCTATCACCATTATCTTTTACATTGACATCTGCACCATTGGAAAGAAGAAATTCGACTCCTTCTCTATAGCAATTTTCGGCCGCATAGTGAAGAGGAGTTTTATTCCAAATGTCAACATCATTGATATTTGCACCATGTGATAATAAAATTTTGATTAATTCTGGGTCTCTCAAAGTATATGAAAGTGCAGTCCTTTTATTTTCATCCTTCGCATCGACTTCAATTCCACGCGATAATAAAATTTCGATTGCCTTTTTATTATCATATTTTGCAGCACAGTGGAGTGGAGTTGAATCGCTAAAATCAACCTCATTTATATCAATTCCATTTGCAAGGAACAAATCAATTGTTTTATAACCTTGATGAGATACCGTTGTAAAAATAAGGTTTTGTCCATCTTCGTCGCTTCCGTGGATATTTGCTCCAATGTAAAGAAGGAATTCTGCTATCTCTTTATTATCCATTTTAGCGGCATAGTAAAGAGCTGTTCTTCTATTCCTGTTTTGTGCATCTAGATCAAATGAAGCAAATTTAGGATGATAAAATAAATACTTAATCATGTTAGTATTGTTGTGAATTACTGCAAAATGAAGAAGGTTTGAACCATAAATATCCTTTTCAAGATCAATTTCTTCATTTCCGAGGAGCATTGCTGATGGTTGTAATGCGGCACACCATGGAATTATTGAATTCTTATCTTTATTGAACAAAAGGCAGACAACTTTGAAATTCTGTGATTTAATTATTGATTTGTAACTAAATGATTCAATTGAAAAAAAAAGATCGTGATCCAAAGCATATTCGAGAAATTTGTTGTTATGTGATAAAATAATATTTTTAAAACATATTTCGTCCAGTTCATACTCCTTCATGCATTCATTAATAATTCTGTGTTTCCACCTATTAATGAGTATTGAAGGCATCGTGGAGAGATTTTGTGATGTAAATTTGTAGTAAGGAAAGTGAAAATATTTACAGATCCAAAGTATGCGCATGCTTCAATTGGAGTAAGTTGCTCATCATCAGAAATAAGGACACGTATGCGATCCAAAGAATTATTGGAAACATATTCTTTGAATCGATCAATTTGGTCATCCATAATAAAAGATTCAACAGTATCATCTAGTGGATAAATACTATCAAGGCTATATCTGACTTCCAGCTGGTACACATCATCATCGTCCTTAGTGAAACTCAGAAAATTATAGCTTGCCATAGCTGTTAGTTTATTAGCTTCTTTGTCAGTAATTGGGTTTTTAATTAAGAAATCATGAAGAATAGCACAATAAATCAAAAAAGAACGATAGTTGTATCTAACTGCCTTGACTATGCTAACAAGGATATCGTATGTACTCATTTTGTACTTGTTTATTAAAACATCTGTTATCAAATTATAAGTGTCTTTGATTGTTTCCACACTCTTCACGTGGAAAATCTTATCATATGCATCGATGAAATCATCGTATTGTTTTGAGCCGTCTTTACTCATGAAAGGAGTTAAAGAAATTTTATAAAATAACCATTTTATGGGCGTGAATTGTGAATATTTATTTTTTTATTTATGTCTCAAGAACCGGTTAAAGAGATACATGAAGTATTCAAAGATATGGATCAAAATGGAGATGGGTTTATAGATCCTGAAGATCTCAAAATCTGCATGAATACGCTTGGATTTGAATTTAATGCAGCTGAAATTCAACATTTAGTAATGGAATTAGATCCAGAAAATACAGGAAAGATAGATATGCAACATTTTTCAGAATTTATTCGTTCTAAGATGACAGAAAGAGACCATATTGAAGAAATTCAAATGGCTTTTCAGATGCTCGATATAGACAAGAAAGGCAAAATCACATTTTCAGACCTTAAGAAAGTTGCCAAAGAATTAGGCGAAAATATTACCGATCAAGAATTACATGAAATGATTAATGAAGCGGACACAGATAATGATGGCGAAATATCATTTGAAGAATTTGTAGCACTGATTAAGACAGCAGCTCCAAACTTATAACTTGAAAATTACATTTCTTACAGATAATATTAAAAACGAGTCGAAATGATATATACACAAATAGTGTTGACTCAAAGTAATCATTTCATTACCCGAAAAAAGTAGATAATGTTAATATTGGATTGGGGTTTTTCAATTAGTAACACTGAATGAACAGTATTACCACCATTATACAATGATTTGTTATTTGATGAAAATTCAGTCAAATTTGTATTTAATTTTTCTAAAAATAAAAATTTATCTTCTATTATGCTAGAACAAATGACATTTTTCATTTTTCAGATCTGAGTACTGAAAGCATTCTAACAATTAAGGATTTTCTTGAAAATTGAAAAATGTCTTCAATCCATTTAGCATATCAACCATATTTAGAGCTAAAAACTTTATTACCACATAATAACTTAACTAAAAATACTAATAAAAGTAACTCATATGATTTGGTAATTTATTTTTGTGAGAATTTGTAAACGTGCACTATGTTTGGCAGGATCAATATTTCTTCTGCCAAAAGAGCGAAGCCACGTGGCAAACGTAAAGAAGCACCGAAATCTATATTCGATTCTGAGTTTCCTGAGCCAAAATTTTTAGATAAAGGAATATTAGCTACTGATGGCTGCACATATTACAAAAAAGCATTGATTGAAGGCCAAGAGTTCAATCTATTTGATTCTGCACAAATTTTAACATCAGATACAACAGGATCTAAAGACCATTTATATTATGCACTAATTCTTCAAATGCGATCAGATACAGAAGGCAACAAACAAGCCAAAGTAAATTGGTACTGGAGAAAAGACGAACTTCCAGAAGAATTAAAATGTTTCGTACTCAGAAGAGAATTGCTTCTCTCTGAAGCAGTAGAATACATTCCTTTAGATGCAATTCGAAGCAAAATAACTGTTTATTCAAACGTTTCAAATATTGGTCGAAAGATAAATCACCTTATTACAGCAAATACAAGCGAATTCTTATGCAATCGCGGATTCTTTACATGCCAAGCGGAGTTTGTAGCAGTTTCTACAATACGTCGTCTAATGAATTTAACATTAGAAGATATTGAACACGTAGAAAGCGGATCTAAGTATGACATTGCGCGTGCACGATTGCAGTTGAATTATGTTAAAGCTGTATTAGGAAGACAAGGCGAAATGCAGTCAATTAAGGCTGCAATTGAAAGATTTCTTATGCGAGGCGGTTGTGGCGGCTGCCTATATATATCTGGCGTTCCTGGCACAGGTAAAACACTCTGTGTCAAAGAAGTTATGAAGCAAATCGGAAATGAAGTCATTTCTGGTAAAATCAAAGATTTTGAGTTCTATGAGATCAATTGCTTGCGGTTTGGCGAGTCGAACAATGTATTTAAAGAAATTTGGTACCAGCTTACCGGTGAAAAACTCTCCGTAAAGTCATCAATTGCAAATCTCAACGCATTGTTTACGAAAAGTCCACCCGAAAAGTACATGATACTTCTCATAGACGAGATTGACATCCTTTTGACCAGGAAACAGACCGAAATCTACTGTTTGATGGAATGGGCTTGTTTGCCTAAGAGTCACCTGATTGTTATCTGCATAGCGAACATTATGGACTTGGAGCAGCGCTTAGCACCCAAAGTCCAGTCGAGATTCGGTAAAGAAACAATCAGATTTTATCCATACAAAAGTGACGAATTGAAAATAATCGTCGAAGGAAGAATCAAAGATTTAGGCATTTTCCATCCGACAGCCATTGATTATCTCTGCAAGAATATAGCTAATGTCGGTGGAGATGCAAGAAAAGCACTCGAAGCTTGCAGAAGATCATTGGACTTCGTTACAGAAGAAAATTCAGAAAATTCAAAGAAAAAAACGAAGTCTGAAGAGCAAATCAAACTGAAGACGATGGTAAGAGCAGTTAAAGATATGCAGGAGATAAGAGGAATGTCAATTCTTGAAAAAATCACGCTCAACGAAAAATTAATTTTGATTTCGTTCTTGAAAGAGATGAAATTAAAGGATTTGACATCTGCATCGATGAGAGATGTTGTAAAAAGGTTCTATACCATCCAGAAACAGTTTCCAGACTCTCCTCAAGTAAATACAACGATGTTGATGGTTCTTGTTGGAAAGCTGATTGATATCAAGGTGCTTAAGACACAAGATGAAAGAGTTCCTTCAGCAAACTCAAGATTGTTGCTAGTTTGCAGTGAAGGAGACTTATTAATCAGTTTGAACAAAGATAAGGCATTGAAAGCTCTTGTAGAGCCTCTTATGCCTTAGTAATTAAATATTTATATTATCTGTTTGTAGAATTATATATTGTCTTTCAACGCAATCAATTCACATTGTTGAAAAAAACAATCCGAAATTTCACTTCTCTTTCAAAAAGTGGATATCCAAGATCAGGGAACATCATGAAAGTTATAATTTCGAATTGGGTGATTAGTCTAGTGGTATGATTCGCGCTTAGGGTGCGCGAGGTCGCGGGTTCAATTCCCGCATCACCCCTTTTTGTCTATTTTTTTCTCTCATTGGCAAAGTATTTTAGTTAATGATAATACGGAGCAAAGTAGACCAAATTGGAGAACAAATTTGGATTTGGAGCTCACATAACATCTTGTTTTAGTAAAATTTTAGCATTTTGAAGCTTGCTAAACTAATCTTTTTTACTTTATGTTCTTTTACTCTATTAGTTGTATATCAAGTTTGTTCAATGGAAAGAAGATATATGTTTTAATAATAAGCAAACATTTATTTACAAATAAAATAATAAAATTAATATAAAAAATTATACAAATACTTCTGGAATGTGGCAAATCAATGAAGTTCCAGAAGCAATCAAATTCTTATCTGAAACATCTGATGGAATTGGGATGTATCTGATGAGGTTTTCTATCTCTCCGTCAACTCTTCTTCTGTCCATTGTTGTTGTGCAGTCGAATGAAGGAGCAGATTTGAAGAGAGGACACATGTAAACTCTCTTATCTCTTGGAGTTCTCTTCATGAGTGCGATAGAAAGTCTTGGCATCTTCACGAATGGTTTCGACTTTTGATTTGTTGGAATCAATTTCCTTGATATGCTGTCGTAATTTCCAGCCATCAAGTATATTCCATCCAAGTTCAAAGCGTTCGGATGTGTTGGAGAATCGTTGAATTCGAAGTCAATCATTAATGAATCAACAACGACATTCATCATGACTGCAACTTCGTGGGAATAAGAAAGAATTAGACCTCTTACATCAGAAACTAAACTGATGTCGATTGTTGGAGGTCTTCCATTCTCTACCCAGTTCTTCAACAATTCTATTCTTCCCTTGATATTTTCAATCATCTTCTTCGGATTAAATGTTCCGCTGTAATTGAAAATGTTGATGATTTCTTTTGGTAAGTTTTCTTTTGCAAAAGAGGAAATGATTTCTTTTGATGGTTTTTGCAACAATGTCCTTGCAGAGTTAATTGCCTCTTCCAACTCTTTAAGTTCATGTTGTGCCCAAACAATTGTAGGAGTGATGTTTTCAAGTGGTTTTGGTTCTTCAATCTTTGGCAAATCATTTAAGAAAATCTTGATGTTTTGGATTCCATTTTCTCTTTTGATTGGGTTTGTGCATGGAGCAATTGCGTTTGAAATGTCTTGGCCAAGTAGCCATGCTCTTATTGGACCGGAAATCACTCTAGGGATTGACAAAATGTCACAAGTATTGAACACAGTCATCTTCGAAATTGTGTGTTGATAATTGGAAATTGGAGAATCAGGAGGAATTACCCATTGTTCTCTTTCAGCAAATGACTCGTCAATGAACCTGAAATTGTCATCAACAGCTTCAGGAGCAAATATCGTGAAGATAATAACACGTAATTTGCGTCTATCGAATGTATCCAAAGTCGAAGAACTCAAAATCATTTCCATGATTTCATCTCTTACGTTTCTTATTGGTAACTCGTGTTGGAAGTTGATTGTTGATGCTGTTGTTGATCCAGGCTGTGTCTGGTTACTTTGTGCTTGAACTCCTGCATTTGCATCAATGATTGTTCTTAATCTTTCAAAGATATCTTTGACAGCAACTTCAGGAACAGGAGAAAACTCTGAGAAACCTAAAATTCCAAGCGAAGACCTGAAATGAACAACAGAAAACATCAAAGCAGCTGCATATGAATATTTCTTCATTGCACGCGGATTCGTTGATGATCTGATGGAGTTCGAGTAGTGCTGGTATATCTGCAGCATTTGTTGTCTTATACTTGGATAAGAGTTGTAAGAATATCTCGTGCATCCACTCAAAACATATGAAGGAATGTATTTCGTGGATTGAGCGATAATTATCATTCTGAAGTTAGATGACGTTGTTCCTTGCAATGCTGCATATATATCTGCTAATGCTGATGCAGCAGCTGGTGTTGGATCTGAATAGTGCAAAGCAACCCAAACGGATTTATTCATCATTGATTGAATCGTTGAAACAATTTTTTCTAAAGCTGATGAATCTTCTGACAAAGAAAATGTTTCAAATGAATCCAATCTGTTTCTGTTTGCAACGAATTGGCTCAACAACGATGTTGGATCATTCTTTATGTCGCTGTAAATAAATACAGGCTGGTTTGCTGTCGTTGTAATGAACGATTCTATTGGGAATGTTGGATAATTCACTGCGAAATTCGCTGTGAATTGTTCGCTGATAACTCTTTGGAATAAATTGAAAACATCAGCAACATTTGAAGTCTTTAATGCATCAATTGCATCTGTCATCATTCCAAGGGCTTCTGAGATATTGACATCGACCTTTCCTCTGCCAACTTCTTCGATATGATTCACAACTTCTTGTAAATCTTTTTCGTTTTCGGATCCTTCGACTTTTCTCATTGCAATTGCAACGAAGAACATGTAAAGCAATGCGTTTGTCATTGTTAATGGCTGCAACATTAATTTAAGCATTGCAGCAATGACTCCTTGATGAAGTTTCTCGATTGCTTTCTGTTCTAATTTTCCTGCTTTTCCGCCATTTTGATTTATCGCTTGTGTCAAACAAGAAGTGAATGTGTGGAATCTGAAGAAGCTGTTTCCTGTTATCTTTGGTAAAACAACAGAAGCAACAGTCCACATCTCTGTGACTAAATCCAATGTTTGTTTGACAGGCATCAAAATGACTAAAATGTCTGATTGCAGGAAAACGAAGCAAGAAATCACTTTGACTAAAGCGTCTTTTTCTTTAGCAATAACAGCAAGTTTCTCCATGTCATCGCATTGGCTTTCGCTGATTAATTGTAACAATTTCATCGTCAATCTTTGTATTGTCACGTTTCTTCTTAATTCGAACAATCTTTCACTCATAACATTTCCTTCGTTTTCAGGAGCAGTCATTCTTACAAAGATCCTTGTTAATTCTAGTTTTGCTGCATCTAATTGTCCCAAGTTTCCATTGATCACTGATGTTCTTGAAAGCAAAGAAACAGGCAATTCATTGACAGATTTCTTCGAAGAAAGGAAGAAAATCTTGAATCTTGGAGAAGCATTAACTGTTGTTTGTCCAATTGTTACATCTTGGGCATTTTCATGTTGTGAATTGTAGTAATAAGCGAAGATAGGATCAAACAAAGGATTGTAGTCGTCAACATCGTGAACGAAAACAATCTTTCCGTCAACCATCGCTTGAGAAATTGTTTTCTCTAAACTGCTAGAAAGAGCGCAAATATGAACAACAGAACCTTTGTTATGACTTTCTATCGCGTGGCAAACGAATCCGTCTTGGTCAATAATCAAAGGAATTCTTAATGTGCTGTGTGCAGTACATTCCGCTAATTCTACATGGAAAGATGTCTTCTTTTGTGACTCAGGAGGAGGCAAATCAGGAACAGTAAATGCAATTCCGACTGCTGTTCTAAATTCCATGTCATTTCCGGAAATTTGTTGATTGTTTTGTTGCATGATTTCTTTGATTTCGGAGAAGAAATCATCGAGTTGCTCTTGATTCATATATCCACCATAAGTTCTATAAGCTGCTTCAAAGAATGAATCAGAGATTAAAGAACTTTCTGGCATGTCTTCGCCTTTAACAACTCTTGAAACGAATTTCTCGGAATCTTTGCAAACTTCTTCCAACAAAACTTTGTCAGCATTGAGTTTCTTGAATGTTTCTTCGAATTTCTCAAGTTCTTGTGATTGTGATTCGTTGTTTGCAGCTTGGTTCTCTAGTTTTTCTTTGATTTCAGCGATTTCTTTTCTGTCTTGAGTTGTATCTTGTCTGAATTCTTCAAGAGCTTTCTCTTTTTCAGCCAATGTCTTTGATTTCGAGAAATACAAAATGTCTGAGCTCAAAATCTTTATACAGCTCTGAACGAATGCAAACAAGAAACCAGCAGGAGGAGAAATTGTGTCTAACTCAATCTGCGTGATCTGTGCAGTGTTAAAGAATTGACAAGCTTGGTTTCCAATGTTCATATCTGTTGGATTGTTCTTGTCAATGTATTTGTTTGTGTTTGTCGGATCAATTGAGTTTGCAACATAAGTTGGGAAGTCTGGCTTCATTAAGATGACTTTTCCTGATGTATCATAATCGATATCAACATTCAACAATGAACACAAAACTCTCATCAAAACTTTGAATTTTAATGGAGGATTTTCAGCGGAAATTTGAAGAATTTGGAGGTCATTGTCTGTCAAAGCGTTGAGCTTTGATTTGCGCATGTTGAAGTCTTGTATGTAATCTTGTTTGTTGTGTAATGCTGTTTCCATTTGTTTCTTTAATTCTTCAATTTCGTCAACTTTCTCTTTTTCTTGTTTATTGAGATTTTCTTCGCGTTCTGTGACTTCTTTCAACTGGTTCTTGTAGTCTTCGGATGATGATTGTGATTTATTCCTTAAGTTCTGCAACTGTGGCTCTGTTTCTTTGATTTTATTCAAAGTAATTTGTAATTCATTCGACACTTTGTCGAAAAATGCTCCTGTTGATTCTCTTTGTCTCTTAAGAGTTTCCATGACAGTGTTTCTTTGTTCATAGACTCTCTTGAAGTAAACAGAGAAATCATTCATGAGATTGGAAGTGATTTTATCACCAAGTTTGAGCTTCATGAAGTTGTGAACTCTCGTGAAACAATTTGCCAATGATTTATGTTCTTCAGGTAATCTTGTAATGAAGACTTCATCATTGCAAATTTCATCACTGAATCTGAGTTCGAATACTTGAGCAAATTTAGGATATTCTTGGACATTATCAACAGAGACACAAACATGGACTCTATCTCTAATAATTGCTCTGATCTTGTAGTATGTTTTGAGAGCTTCTTCACTTGACAAATTCGTCTGTGATTTCGTGTATGTCTTGTACAATTCTTCAAGAGTTTGAGCATTGTAAAACTCAGTGAAATTCGATCTGTGCAAGAAATTATGGAGAGCGAGTTGTTCGAGTTCTGTATCATCTGTTGCTCTTAAGAAGATGACGCTTGACTTGTTCTGTAACAAAGCTAAATTAATAGCATTTGCCATTGTCTTTTTAAGCATCTCTCTTCTCAAGATCTTCGAAGAATTCTGGATTGGAACTAAAGGCTTCAAATCAAAGAATTCGAAGTTATTCAATTGGCAGAATAATCTTGTTAAAGTTCTTCTTCCTGTTGGAGACTTTCCACTAATATAAACACTGCCTGATGGATAAGCTAAAGCTCTCTCCAATCTGATGTATTGTTGAACAGTGTTTTCATCGAAAACAAATGAAATTTTCTCTGCAAATTTCTGATTTGCTGCATCTTTTTCTTGTGACAATCTTTCAATTGTTGTTTTGATGTCATCGTAAACCAATTTGCAGTTGAGTTTAAGGAGATGATCATCTGAATTAAACAATGTCCTGTAGACAATGTTATTTGCGAAATCTCCGAGAATTTCTCCATAATCATTTGATAAAACTTCTCTGAAACACTCTCTTATTTTGTTTGATTCTTCTTCTGTTTGTGGATCGATTGCGAAATACGACTGTCCAATTAAAGCTCTTATCAACAACAAAATGTCTTCTTTCTTGGAGCAGTATTTCTCTTCGTAGAATGGGAATGGTTGCAATATCTGATTCATGTTAAATTTCAATCCTTTCTGCTGGAAATTTTCGAAAACTTTGATGGCTAAATCAATAAAAGTATTCGAAATAGAGAAAGAATTTGCTCCACGTCTGAAAATGTGTCTTAACGATGAAGGAGATTGTTCCAAGAAATGTATTGGATGGAAGTGTTTCATGAAACGACGTCCAAATCGTTTAGGAGATTTGGCTGTAACAATGATGAAAGTGTTTCTTATTGGATATTCTTCGTAGTATTTCGGATCAACTTTCGAACTAAAAACTAATGATTTCGTGGTGATAATTTGTCTGATGAATTCTGCAGCTGTTTGGTTTTCGAATGGAACATCTTCGAAAATCAAAGCGTAAATAGCTTTAGTTTTCATCATCGCGTAGTTTTTAGTGATAACAGGTGTGTGCATTCTAATGAACTCCAAGAGAGAACGTCCTGTCGATGAAGGAGTAACTGGAATAAAGATAGGAATATACAAATTCGGTTCCTTAGAGAAAATTTGATGTAAGAATGCAGTTTTTCCTGATCCTTGTTGTCCATGCAAGAAAATGTTTTGTTTGTTACGAATCAAGACAGAAATGTGAGCCATCATTGGCATCATTTCTGGTGTGCACACTGCGATGTCTTCAACTCTCATCTGTACATCGGAATCCTTAGCGGAATTGGTTGGAGTTCCAAGGGTTAAATCGAAATCCAAAGGAATTAATTTGTCTTTGAAGAATCTCAAAGAAATTAATGATGGCGTTGGATACTTCTGTGTACAGATTTCAGGAACATTGAGGCCATCCCAATCTGTAGGAACAGACATCTCGTATGTATGAAGCATCCATTGATCGAATTCTTTTATGGCTTCTTCTGTCAACAAACCGCAAAAAACTTTGAAAACTGAATGCAAAAATGCAATTTTGATTGAGTTTTCATCATCTTGGTTAACTTGTTGTGCTACAATGATCATTGATGTGTATTCAAGGGCCTTTCGTGGTAATGCGTCTTTCATCATGTATTTCTTGAAATTATCCCTTAATTCTGGAATGTATCCCTTTAATTCTTCTGTCAAATAATTTGTCACTTTTGGAATAACTTCGACAAAAATCTTTGATAAACATTCTTTGCAAGAAAGAGTTATTTCTGATGGTAACGAGACTTGGTTGAACATCTTGAGAGGTGTAATGAATTCCTTCATCGGAATAATACCACAGCAAGCTACAAATGATGGAGAAATGTTCGAAAGATTTCCTGTTTCAACGATAATATGGAATTTGTGGTCGAACAACAAAGTGTCTAAAGTATTTAATTTGCATTTATGTGACAAAGATGTTGAGAAGAACTCCTGGAGATAAGAAACAAAATTAGTACTCATTGGACCATTGAATCTCAATATACAATGATGTGTTTTTTCGAATTTCTTCAATTGAGAAACATAAGTATTCAACAAACCGTAATTTTGTATTTGTCCTTCTTCTGGATCATCTTTGACGCTTCCAAACATTACTTTGTACTTTTCGCTTTCCTGGAAAACATCGCAGATCTTGACAGGCATGATACCAGAGAATCTATTGATGATATCAGCATTTTGAGCAAGCTTTAAGAAAGCGAGTTCAAGCATGTGAACAATCAAAGTCTTTCCTGAATTTGGTCCTCCGCAAATTATTATGCAAGGATATTTCAACATCATTTCATACAATCTTATGACTTGTTTAATGATGTATTCAGTGTCAACTTGATCTTCCATGTTCTTGAGCTCTTTGGAAACAACATCTCTGATGACTTCCGCAGCTTGTTCGATATGGAAACATTGTGGTTTTGTGATGTGATCTTTGAAAACATTTATATTTTCAAAGATATGGAAATTGGCGTAAATCATTTCCATCAAAAGATCTCTGTGTTTGAATTTGATGTTTGAGAAGAACCTCAAGTAAATAGCTCTTGCAACAACAAACTCTTCAGCGATACGTGGTTCTTCGTAGTAATTTACGAAGGATGCTGATTTGGAGTGCATCATTTGTCTCAATAAATCATGTGCTTGATCCAAAATAACAAAAACATAACTCATGAATGATTCGTTCTTGAGATAAGTGAATGTTCTTGTTATAGCATTGATGCATGATGACAATTTAACAGCAATGATCTTTGTAAACTTAAATCCACTGGATACCAATTTAACATTCGCAATTTGGAGACAATCAGGAGCAGCAAAACTGACAGGTTTCAAAATTGTTCTCAATTCTGGAGGAACTGATGCAGAAGTCATGAACGAAGCATTTCCTGATAATAATATTCTGCAGGACTTTTGGAGTTCGATAACACGATCTGATATTGTTATCCTACTTCCACCTGCATTTTGTAACATGTTCATTGAATGAATGATTTGATAAATGAACGATAAATTGTGATGTGACAATTTTTCAACGTTATTAAATGATAACCAACATCCTGTTAAAGCGGCTCCTGTTACTATTCTAGAAAGAATCTGTGTAGGAGTATTTTGGAAAGCCGGGAAGAAGTAAATGAATCTTCCAAAGTTATTTGCAAGTTGTGCAATGAGATGTTTCTTTCCAACATCTTCTGCACCGCAAATCATTGGGAATTTGTTATGCATGATTGCGTTTGCAGCGTTATTTAACACGCGTTCTGATGCTGGAGTGTAAATGTATTGTATACTTGAACCCCAGAATTCGTACCCGTGTTCAACAGTTGCATCTCCCATATCAATAAACATTGTTTGGTTCTGGTTATGATATCTAAATCTCATGTGTGAATTCCAATTCAATTCTTGTGAATAGTAATGGTATTGTTCAGACAAAGGTCCTATCTGTGTTATCAAGAAATTAAGGAATGTCGCAATAGCAGATAGTTTAAGGATTTCACTTGAAGAAAGAGGAGAACTCATAACAGAAGAGATTTCAACAATTTTTGATTGCAAAACTTGTTCGTAAGCTGAGAAAGCTCTTGCAGGATTATCTGTGTTATTAAAACACTCCTGGATTTCTCTTGCAAAGGAAACTTGTAATGTTAAAATCGCTATATGTGTTGACACTGTTGGAATCCAATCTTTCATTGATGAAGAAGTGAATCTTGCAATTGAAGATCCAATGGAATCTTTGACACTGTTTTGCATCGCTTCAATAACTCTTGGTCCCCATTCATCGACATCTCCTGAGATTTGTACTGGTTTAGTAAATGGCAATGTATCTCCGTCATCTCCTACTAAACCTGTTAATCTGTATTTCGAGAAGATACCGTTGAATGGTAAAATAGAACCATCACTTGTATCTTTTTCATCAATTACATTTGAATCGAAATTCTTTATGTGCATAAACATTTTTGCGATTGTTGAATTGAAGACTTGGAAATCATCTGTTGTTATCATATTCAACACTTCTTGGTTACTCAAGAAATACAATCTCGGCATCAAAGCTCGTTTCGTATCAATGTATTTATGAACTTGAGATAAAATCCATTGTAACGTGTTGTTGTTTTCTTTAAGAATATCATGAAGTTGAGGGAACGCGCAAACAACAAACAACAAAGTGTCTTCTAATGTGTTCTTTATGATTAATGACCATCTCTTCTTGACTATCTGGAATTTCTGGACACAGGCAGGTAACACGGATTTGATGTCATCATTATTAAATAAACGTGACAAAAGTGGCCAATTTGATTGGAAAATGAGCCATTCATCGAGAATTCTTGCGATGTTCTCAAGTTTAAATGATAAACTGAGTACGTGGTCTTTGATACCTTGTACGAAAGGAACAGATAACATTTGGTCTAACTGTTCTTGAGTATCAGCAATTTGTGCAAACAAACTGTCAAGATTTCCGAGCATCAGTTCATCTTCTTTCTTATCTTGGATGTCCAAAAGAGGGATATGAACTTCTTGCCAATGCGAATTGATTGCTTGGAAAGAATGCTCTAATCTGGATTCACCTTGTGATGTGGATGTTATTTGTTGAATCTTTTCTTTCTGTTGTAAAATGCCAAGCGAAATTAATTCATCAATTTTAATTTGTGAATAATAAGCGTTTGGTCGGCCACAAGATTCAAACAAAGTATTCCAGTGATGTGTTTGCATCCTTCCTTGAGATAACAATTCAATTACTTCTATATAAGGTACTATTGCACTTTCAGCTGTATCCAATTCCGCAAGTAATTCACATGGCTCGTTATAATTTTCTTTAAGATGTTGCACTGTTTGGTCGATGTTTTCTAAATCTTCTTTGAATTTCTGGATATCGACATTGGATAAAGGAACTGTTGTTATTATCTTGGAAACACCTTTCCATGATGCAACACAATCATATAATTGGCCATCGAATTCCGCTTTCTTCTTTATTTCAGCGAAAATTGAAAAATCGTTCTTGTTTACACCTAAAATTTGTTGGTAGTGTTGCAAATTTACAACTCTTGGCTGGTATTTAGTGATCTTTGCTTTCATTTGTTGTATTGTTGGTATGTACATGTCAACATCACATTGCTGTATAGAAACAGGAATTGCGGAAACTGTGTTTTGAACTCTTGTGAGTTTTTCAAGTTGAACTCTGATTTGATTTTCAAGAGTATTGATGTAAACAGCGGAATGGATGCTTTTCGTTTGTTGTGCGATCTGCTGGTCACCTTTGAAGATGTTGAAGGCTGGAATTAATGGGTTTTTCTCAAGTTGTGGAACGTGGATGTGAAATTCATCAAATAATACTAAGCATTGATCGACAAACTTGACTTCTGTTTGAAGATATGGTTCAATAACATCGCATTTGTCTGAGAATTCACAGAAATCAACGAAATCGGTCAAAGATGTCGGATCAAATCTAAGATATTTGTGGCAATGGTTGAAAATGCTTTGGAAGTAGTCAACTTTGGTTTGTACTAAGTTCTGAAGCATCTTCTGCATTTCCATGATGGCGCGAGCTGGAATTGGCCTGAGATGATTTTTCATATTCTTGGAATCAACGTAAAGAGCGCCTCTAAGTGTGCAGGATCTGAACTGATTCATCTTAATCTCATCCTGCTTGAATTGTTCGTAGTCATCTCTGATTTTTTGGAAATCAATAATAAGTTCGCTATTTGGCTTGAAAATGAAAGGAGAAGAGTTGCCAAATGCAAGGTTGATCTCTTTAGGCTCTGTGGATCTCTCTTTAATGTAGATTTTTGGCGACCATTTCTCTCCAATTTGGAAAATTGGGAAATAATCTTTGAATTGCTGAGAAACTTCATAGGCATCGTGATAAGCTTCAGTAATAACGTTAATAATGTGATCGCTGAGCCTTTCAATTTCAGCATTGCAATCAATAAAAGATTTGAACGATGGACCATCATCGAAAATGAAATTTAAGTTCGGCAAACTCTCGCACAAGTGTTGTCTGATGGCTCCAGCTCTTATGACTCTTGGTAATTCATTTAATGTTTTAAGAGCTCCAGAAAACAGATTTCTGAGCTTTGTAATAAATTCATCTATTGATGGAGTGAATAAAATTGTTCCGTCGCTGTTGAAAGAAACTTGAATTTCGAAAATTGAAGATTGATCTGTTGAAACGTTTTCATCTGCCATTATCCAGCATTCATAGCAACTCTTTGCAAGTTGTTCAAGCAATACGTAATCAACGAGTCTTACAAAATGACCAAAAGCTCCAATTTCTTTTTTGACAATTTCATTTCTTCTGTTGCTCTCAGCATATTTCTTGCGTTCTAAGACCATGAGCTGGCCAAGGTTAGGATTTCTTCTTTTGATCTCCGGAAAGTCGCTATCTTCAACAATAACTCTTGCAGGATCTCGAATATCAGTATCAAGTTGAACTAACTGAGCGATAACCTTCTCTACGAATTCAGCGAACTTTGACTTTAATGCTTCTATGTTTTCTGAAGATATTTCAAGGAAAGTAGCTAATGGATAATTCTTTTGAGTATTAAAGCAAAGTAAGTGCTTCTTTAATATCGTATCGCATGTATTTTCGAGAATTTGAATAGCTGCTTCGTAGAATGCGTAGTTATTGAAGAAGGAATGCATCAAAACTCGATCCGTTATTTGATCAAATCTTTGCTGCATAACAAATTTCTTCCAGATGCGGAAAGGCTTCCATCTGAAGTAATTTGAAAATGTTCTCAGTTTCCTGATTGCCATAAAAATCGAACTTTCCTTTGACCATCTATCCAATGTTAAGTTTTCTGTTGATCCATCAGGCATCACGTGAGTTACACCACTTGCTGACATTGTAAAATAGTCATTTCCGATTTCTTGCGATGAAACTTTCTTCAATTCGTATGGATTAAATGCTGGATCTGATTTATCACCAACGTAAATCATATAAATGAAAAGATGTCCACGGCCATCTTTTCTCTTGCTGAAATATGCGATTGGATCTTCTTTAAATGCAATAGATTGCTCTTCAAGCTCTCTTTCTTTTTCAATTGCCTCTGTTTCGAGGGTAGGTTCGCGTAAATTTGATAGAGGACGTTTGGATATCAATGACGGCATCATTTGTGCAGCACTTGGCACTAACGATGTTGTTGCTCTTGAAGTTGATTTAGTTGCCGGACGAGATGTTCCTTTACGAAAGGCTAATAATGCCGGACTTTGTGCATGTAATAGGTTTTCTTCCTTTTCGTTAATTGGTTTTACAATTTCGTATTCTTCAGCTGTATTATCAAATAATTTTGTGGCAAAAAGACTTTTTGTTCCAGCAGGATTACTAAAAACAGGATGGTGGCCAAATCCAACTGTTTTAGAAAGCTTTGGAACAACGAGCTCTGTATCAGGTATATCCGGATTCTCTGAAGAGCTCATTTTTTACGATGTAACGTGCAAAAAACGATTATTTTCAAGATTTTTATGTTGAGACTGAAATTTTCATCAAATGAATAATGCCAACAATTTTTGGGTACAGTTCTGATCTTAAATAACTTGATGATGGTAAAAATATTGAAGATTGTAATTCAAATATCTATCTAGGGCAATTTTACGAGCAGTGCATGGCTTAATTTGTGTACACATATGAAATCATCAGTAATGGTTATGCATCCATTCATTATTCATGATAGATTTGAAAAATTTTGATTGAAGTTTTGACTCATGTTAAAGAATCTTAAGGCCATTAATGTATAGATTATGGCACATTAATTTGAAAAGTATTAAGAAAACATGATAGAATATTTTTTACAAACAAACAAAAATTAAGCTATGCTGCAACAACCTTTCTTTTCTTGTTTTGGTTCTTCGCCTGGCACATAAGGTGGAGGAAGATTTGTAGGTACATTTGGATTATCGCCGATTGGAGGAAGTAACGAAATAGGAGATAACTTCACAATTGCTACTTGATCCATAGTTTCCCAAACAAAAGGCTCGTACCAAGTGCATTTCAAATCTTTCATACAATCATCTAAAAATGATATAAAAAGGGCGTAATTTGGACAATCTTCGTATTTAAGCATATTAATTGTTCTCCATATTGAAAAGAATTGTTTTGGAAAGTTGGCTTTAATGTATTCTTCATAATTCAATTCCTTTTTAATCTTTTTGATATCTTCTTCTCCATCCCAAGGAAGTTTACCTGCGACAAGTTCGCAGAGAGAATAGAACCAGCTGATGATATCATCCTTTCTGGACAATTCACGTCCGCAATGGCTATTTATTGAGGCATATTTTTTAGAACCTACAAATCGCCCGTCTGTTCGAGGTGGAATTACTTCCATATTATCTGTATTTATGTATCTTCTGCATAAACCAAAATCAATTAGTGCTAAAGGAGTTGATCTACTTGCTTTAATCATGAAATTAGAAGGTTTGATGTCACGGTGAACAAATCCTTTTCTGTGAAGTTCTTCAATACACCTGATCATTTCAATTCCACATCGAAGCGCTGTTGAAAGAGGTAATTTAGATGTAACAAGAGATTTTCTAATTCTTGTAAGATTTGGACCAAGAAGTTCCATAATAATAAACTTGAATGAAGATGTTTTGCCAAAATGATAAAATTTTGGAAAATATGCGGAGCCATCAATTAATTTCATGACGGTTTTTTCTTCTTCAATATGAGGTTTTGAAGCTTCGATACTTTCAACTTTCATTGCAAATTCTTTACCGCTATCGTAGCAAATTGTTCTATAAACATCACTAAAACCGCCTCTTCCGATAATATCCTTGATAGTATATGGTCCATATTCTTTTCCAAGCCTCACATCAGGACGATCTTGCATTTTTGGACCAATATTTTAAAATTGTACGTTTATTTGTAAAGATTTTGTAAACGAGCACTTTTTGGAAATGAATTGGAAAAGTGACAATCATCTAATGTCTGATAAAAAATTTCACAAAATTAAAATACACGTTCAAACTTTCGATGTAAACAGATTCGACAGGAATGGTATGTTAATAGGAAATCAAGTAATTGCCTCTCCTTCACAACCAAAACCAGCACAACAGCCAGTCAAGTCCCCACAGCCAAAAATCACCCCACAGCAACTTCAAAGATCGCAATTAATACAAGACCGTGAAAATTACATGAGTATTGTCGATCAAATTATTAAAGAGCAAGGTGGCGAATAATTTTAGTATTTTTGAAGCATACACTATATGATTTTTTGTAAGTATATTATGTTTTTTGGATTAATAAAGTATAATTACCAATTTTTTACAATCATTAATTTTATATATCAAATTTGTTCCGAAATCAATTGTATAAGTATAATATGAACATGAATATAAGAATAGATATTACTAAAGATAAGATTTTTTTATTATTACAAACAATATTAAAAACATGATAATTTAAAGATCCATATATTCTTTTTCATCATCTGAGAGTGCGTAATCATCATCAGCGTAGAGATCTTCCTTATTATTAGGGTCTGCTTTCTTAACTTTCTTTCCACAAATTGATTTAATGTTGGAATTTGCATCTACTGTTATCAATCCTTTATAACTGTTAAATGCTGTTTCTTCGCAATATAATTCATCAGGATCTGCCTTGATAATGATACCTTTTAATTTTGTCAAGCTATCAAAAGCGTTTTGACCAATGGCTTCGACTGATTTCGGTATAATAAGTGCACCAGAGATTGAACTGCACCCTCTGAAACAGTTATCTCCAATGTATGTAACTGAATCAGGAATTTTTAATTGGCCATTTATGCTAACGCAAGATTGGAAGCATCCATCACCTAATATAAGAAGTCCTGGTGGAAGAGTTATTTGGGATAGTCCGGTACACCATGCAAAGCATTGATCTGGAATTTCGGTTAGAAATATTGGCAAAGTTAGAGAAGTTAATGATGAGCATTCGTAAAATGTTCTATTTCCGAGCTCAGTTATCGAATTTGGAAGTACTAACTGTCCAGAAATACTGTTACAATGTTGAAATGCTGATTCTCCCAAAAATTTGAGGTTTTTGCCTTCGAACATAAGATGTATTTGGAGGTACATACAATTTTTGAATGCTTTCTTACCAATAAAATTAATTTTTGGATTAATATTGATAAATGTTAATTTTGAACAGTGACAAAACGCATTGTGGCCGATTGAAGTAACATTTTCTGGTAGTTTTAATCTGCCTGAGAGCATTCTGCAATTCTTAAAAGCGTTATCTGGTATTTTTGTTAAAGATTGATTAATAAAGTAAATTTTTTCGATATTTTCGCAGTTTTCGAAGACAGAATCACCAATGCGATTTATCAAAGGAGGTAAAACAACTATACCTGATATGTTTCTGCAATTTTTAAAGGCAGAACTATCTCATTTCGTGAGATTTTGAAGAAGAGTGAGGTTTCCTGTGATTCCAGATTCACTAAATGCGTTATCTTCAATGAATTGTAGATCTTTGTGGAAGAATAAAGTGATATTTGTTCCAAATCTATGAAAAGCTAAAGATTTAATGGCAATAAGTTTTGAGGGGAGGATGACAGTACCTGTAATTGATTCGCAGTTGGCAAAGGCACACTGCTCAATAATTTCAATGTTTGGTGACCAAATTATTTTTCGCAAGAACTGACAATGATCAAAAGCATGATAATGTATTGTTTTTATTGAGTCTGGCATTGTAATTGATGTTATGTTAGACTCTGAAAATGCAAACCTTGCAATACCTGTAACAGTCATCACAGTTAGGGATTTAACTGGACCGAAATGAGTATAAACATTGAATATCTTTGGTATTAGAACATCACCTTGTGTAATGTTACTATTGTGTGGACTTCTTGTGCCATCTCCGATATCACATTGAACATTATCATCGAAAATCTGATGTGGCATGAATCGCATACCATTGTGGCTGAATGCTTTTTCTAGTCTTAGACAATTAACTAGAGAAATAAAGGCGATAATCATCAGAAATTCTTCAAAAATCTGAAGAATTGCTTTCAAAAGTGACAAAGAAATTTTCAAAAAAAACTTAGTTTTCTTTCAGATTTAGCTCTCTCTCTCACTGCAATAACGGGGAATGAAAAGCATTATTTTTTATGAGTTCTTCACTTTAAAAATGATGCAAAAACACTTGAATTTTCAAATTTAACATTATTTATTGAATTTCGAGATTTTTAAATCAATTATACAAATGAAAAACCATGATACTCTAAAATACAATTAAAACCATTATGATAAAATGCCCAAATCCTACTAGACCATCGAATTATTAAAATTTATGTAAAATTTTTGAAAAAAACATGAAAATATTATGTTTTCCTGACAACCGGGGTATAAGTATTCAAAATCACAAAGAAAAGTTAACGAAAATGTTTTATAGCCCATCAAGAAATGTATGATAAGTAAAGATTCAGTTTCGAAAATGAAATTTCTTTTATTTGATTTTGAATCACAAATTTGAAATCACAGAACAGTTCGAAATCATTAACTCATCCTTATATTAATAGGAAAACTTGAAATATTCTTGTATTATAAATACAAGAATTAGCGTTCATATGGTCAGAGAATAATGTGTTTAAATTTTTCTTTAACTTTGATTGCATTCAAATGATTAGAAAAGGCAGATATCGAATCAAATATATTTTAAATTTTTGATTCCATACATTATACTGATATGCTATAAATACCAAATCAATTATCTATAATCATGACATTGCATTCTTTGGAATATTGATTCGTTTTTTAAAAAACGTAGTTGATTTCAGTGTGGATAAGAGCCATCGTATTAAGAAGGTTTGTTGACATACTATCTAGTTTCGATAAGGTAATCTTCGAATTTTTTGTGGTTTTTGCGTTCACTTTTTTTGTTGTGTGAAAATAAGGTGATAAATTTTTGTCTTCTTCAAAATTGATTAAGTAGCTATATTCTTCAATTACTCAAGAAACCTTTTCTATCAGAATAATACAATCTATTGAAAATTGAGGCGCCCTAAAATCCGATCATCTCAATCGGTTGGATAATCATACGTATATTGATAATCCAAAGGGAAACAAAACAATACTTTCTTTTTTTTCTTTCAATTTTTAAAATTTTCTCAAAATGCGTCGAGGACGTCCCACAACTCACAAAAAGGCCAAGTGGATAACATATCATAGCGAAGATGCGGAGGAGTATTATGAATTGGATGAGAAAGGCAGAATAATTAAAGAAAGAGTCAAGATTCCAACGAATCCACCAACACCTCAGTTCGAACACTTGATTAAACCAAATCAACCTGAGATACTCGTACGAGAAGAAAAAGATTTCATTCCTCGTGTTATTTTGCACTTCTTTAACATGGCTTCTTTCCAGAGCTTTCCTAACAATTTTAAAAAATCACACCTTGGCAATCTTAATCAACCTAAAATAGATTTATCATTTCCAATTTCCTTTTAATTTGCCAACAGATTTCCCTTAATTTCCCATTTCCTTTAAGTCACTATGTTTAACACCATCCATTAATCTACCTTCATTTTTAAAATTAATCCATGGCTACATATTTAGTTTCAGCTCGTCTTTCGGAATTATTATTGTATTCCAAAAAAATTCCAATTCCCATACGTTTATTGCTAGTCTTAGTTGTGCATTTATTTTAGTTTATTTTTACTAATAATTTTTAACAATAATTCGCATTATAAGCAACTTTATTTAATTTTTTTTAGAGAACATCTCGCACAATGTTAATTTATAATCAACTAAAGATACGAATCCACGCCACCTTTAAAGATTTTCAAATTGAATAGATATCCAAAATTTTTAAATTTTTATTAACATTTTCACCAAAATTTGGAACGTACATTAGTCTTAATTATATATTATTTTAATTTAAATTTCATTTTTTTTATAAAAACAAAACACTAAAATTCATTTTTTTTTATTAATGTTTCTATACAAAAGGAATATAATTCTCCTTAATTATACTTAAAATTACTATGATAAAAATATTAACAAAGATATCATTTGAACAATATCTAAAGAAAAGTATTTCGTAACGATGTGTAAATTTACCAACTAAAGATTTATTGAATAATTATTTATTGTACTTTTAGAACCACCATTTTTAAGATATATTCAAAAAAAAAAAAAAAAGGTAGTGGGGCCTCCAGGCGCGTTGCGCCCTCTAGCCCTGAAGATGTTTAGTATAACTTTGTCCGGACAAGCAAGGGTCTATCGTCGCTACAGGAAAAGTTACAGGCGTTCCAAGGAAGTATACTTTGAGAAGACTTTCCCCCTTATAGAATGAGATAGGACGGTTATTTTACAAAACTGACAACACTTTGACCGAGTAGTTTTTTGTGCTGAACAAAAAGTGTCATATAAACATCTGTCAAAAACCGCTTTTTAACTTCACTTAAAATGCCACGTAAGCTACGTAAGAATATACGTAAGAGGAAGAGAGCATTGAAACATCCAATAGTAAAACTGACACCACAACAACAGTTGCAACAACAAATAATGAATGACCCCACTATGTTGCAACAAATGTCAAGCAACCCTATGCTTTTAAACCGAGTTCTTGGTGCACAGAGTGGAGGTTTAAGAGCGGCACTTTTAGCGAAAATGGCAGGCTATGGTGGAGCCGCAGACGGAACAGCTTATAACCCTCAAAGTCAAATGAATTTGAGTTCACTCAAAAATCAAATAACAGATGTCAAAAAGTCAAACATAGACATACAGAAACAAATAAGTGAAAACGAAAAGAAACTAGAATATGACAGACACACAAAGAAACTCAATGAGTTAAACGTAGAGAAAAAGAAGAAAGAAGAACAACTGAAAGAACTAAGTACAGAGGAATATGCGAAAAAAGTGTCAGAAAAAGCAGCAGAAGTAGCAAAAATGGAACAAGATGTTTTAAATTTGAAAAACCATACTACTCAATATAAAGTACTGAAAGATGAAGAGATAAAACAAAAAGCCCTGAAGACATATATGGATAGCGATGAGTATAAAAAAGAAGTTGAAGCAAATGTAAAGGCAGAAAAACTTTTACAGTTGCAAAACCAAACCGTACAGTATGAAAACATAGCACAAGAAAGTAAAAATAACGACGCAGCCATGCAAAAGGCAATGAAAAGCGCAGAATATATAAAAGCTAACAATGACTGGTTAGATGCCCAAGCCAACGCTAAAGCAGCCCAACTTATAGGGTCAATAAGGACAAAAATACAAGCGGATGAAGACAGTTCAAATGAAGCTTTAATGAATGCTGACTTTAAGAACGCCTTCGAAGCTCTTCATAGTAAGGTGAAACAAGTGAACGACTTCTCATCTGGAAAGAAACTGAAGTCTGAAGGTTTCGACAAAGAGTTAAAAGAAGTAGCACAAAATATGACGAAAATAACAGATGCAGCAACGAGACAGGCAGTTCAAAGTGCCTATGACGCCGTTAGAGCAACTGTTGTGGAAAGTCAAGAAAAAGAGTTACAACAGACCAAAACAGACCTAGTAAATGCTTTCTTAAAAACGAAAAGTCAGGTAGGACACTATGCTGCAGATGGAACATATGTGCCAGCTGGTGGAACTTATATACCAGCTGGTGGAACTTATATACTAGCTAGTGGAACCTATATACCACCAAACCCTCCAAGAGAAGCACCTGCACCAGGACTACCTAAAACATTTACATCGTCACATGGACACAGACACAGGCATGCACCAAAACCAGCACAACAACCAACAGTTCAAAACACTGCACCACAACAACAACCAGCACAACAACCACCTCCACAACCAGCACAGCAACCAACAGTTCAAAACCCTGCACAACAACAACCACAAACAGAGCAAGGACATAAAAGAAGTAGAGAACAAGGAAACCAAGATTTCTTAAAAATGCTTAAAGAAGACTATGGTTACCCAGCTACTCTTGACTTTAGTGACAGATATAAAGAAGCTATTAGAAAGTTCAAGGAAGGAAATACTGACCCGAACCTATTTAGCTTTATGGCTCAGCACCAAATGGGATATAATTTCAAACCTGGAAAATACAAGCTCGCTAAGGGATATGATTTAATAGCATATCATCCAAATGACATGACTGAATTTACTCCGAGATATTTGGTGTCAGAGCTAAATGACAATTCAACTCTCTTCATGAAACGCGTAAAAAATAGAGACGGAACGAAAGAAGAAAGGTTTATGAGTCCGGATGACTTAGATAGGGAACTTGTTAAAAACGGTCTCGGAATATATGAAATGCCAGCAGATGAGGTACAAGAAACTCCACAGGAAGAAGTTCAGATACAACCAGACATGGAAGAAATAGTTCAGCAACAACAGCTAGAAGAGCCTGAAGGAAACGAACAAGTCCCTCCTTTGGAAACTAACTTCACAGAACTAGATGAAGATTTGGAACAGCCGAAAAATCTTGACCCTCAACAAGAGTATGAGGTGAATATGGAATCTTTCCAAGAGTCTAAGAAAAATTCGGCTGACATGGTAGAAGAATATCGAAAAATGTTTGCCGACATACAAAAGACTCCAACACCAGATGAAAATATTCAGCATAGAATGGAAGTACTGAAAGAAAATGTACGCAAATACAACAACCCTTTTTACTTACGACCATATAACGTTCAATCTTTGGCTGAACTCGGTGAAAATAAAAGGTTAAATTTCAACAAAACATATAGAAATGAAACATTGTTTAAAGTTCATTCAGAACCTAACCAAGATGGAAACAAACCTACTTTTGTTTCTGCAGACTATGGAACTACAATGAGATGGGGTCATAAAGCTAACCCGGATAGGTGGTTCATAAACTTACAACCACAATTCCAAGAAGTTGTAGACGCAATGGAAGACAATGGTGAACCAGATATAGCTGGTATTTTCAGCGCGGCTTTAATGCCATTGAAAGATATGAAACATGCAGATATTTTGGACCAGTATGAAATGAACATGGCTGAAGGAAATATAACACCTGACGTTCTAGAACATTTATCTCAAAGAACTACACAGAACCATAGAGATGGTATATTTGGTGAAGAGTTTAGAAAGAAAGTTAGGGATAGAGAAGGAAGAGAACCTATTGTACATGACCTTGCAAACGAAAGTTTACAAAATGTCATAAAAACTTACTTTGCAGACAATGAACCGAGAAGGGATGAATATTTAAGTAAACTCAAATGGACAGTACCAAATGAAATGTTAGTATTGAAAAACATGTTCCTTGACAAAATAAAACCAACTACAGAAATAAATGACGCAAGCCTGAAACGTTGGGTAAAAGCTTTCCCATTCACAAAAGATATTGTTGGTAACATGGAAAGAAAACCAGAATGGCTACAAAAACATATATTTGGAAACGAGCTTATTCCATATGGACAAGCTCTGTTTGAAGAGCTTGAACCGGAAACTCAGGAAAGAGTCATGCAAACAATACGCGAAGACTCAAATACAAACTATGACGAAATCTTTCTAGGATATAGGTTACCTGAGATGGGCGACCAGAGCCCAAAGGCAAAAAGGACATGGGAAATTTACAACATACTAGGTGAACATGAGGCAAAGATGCAACAACTTGAAGCAGAGGGCAAGTTACCAAAAGCGACACCAAAGAAGAAGAGAAGAGTAGAACAAAGTGAAAGTAGTGAAGAAGTAACTTCATCTAGTGAAAGTAGTGGCAATGAAGGAAAAAGAAGAGTTAAAAACTCAGCCAGGAAGAAAGTAAAGCTTGGTCCACGTGGGTTCTATTATGACATATAAATCCAACTATTCTATATTTTTACCCATATGAAATGTACGCCGCTCAGAATATAACGCCAACAGTTTTGGATGCCATGAATGGAAATGTTTCCGAATGGTATAACGAATGCGACAATGCCATTAGAAGGTCAGAAATAGTTCCTGGAACTTACGAATATACAACTGCTGTTTCTTATGGAAATGTAGGTGAGTTTGGAGAAGGTTCTTCAACAACAGTAGATATTGCATGCGACAGGTTTCATATTATTTCTATTGACAACTCATTCTTATACGTGGAACAAGACATTGAAATAAAACCTTCTGCCAAGTTGTCTGACAAGAAAGGTTGCAATGGAATTTTCTATGTCGGATACCAATATGCTCCAGAAGTTTTCATGGGATATAAGATATATTCTAACTCTGACTTAGTTCAAACAGTAACATGGGCAAACTATGAATGGTTCGCTTTGAGAAACTCAGTACAACCACAAGCTAGAGAACAAACAGACCAGTATGCAACTATTGAGAAAATAAGAAGACTTGACCCTAACGTTCCAGGAGTTTATGTTAACCTTTCTGGTTCAGATGGAACTGCTGCCACTAAAGTAAAACTGAAACTTAGAGTTCCTTTGTCATCTTTCCTCATCTTCAGGTTTTTAAGATACTTGCCAAACTGGGCAGGAAAAATTTCTATCGAACTTACTCCA